CGGTATAGGTGCTCGCACAAACGTACCACTTACTAAAACAATACACCTCACACGGTGTTATCTAGCTATAATTACTATTTCATGAAAATAAATTTCAATTAAACGGCTATTGGACGAAGAAGAAGGATATCTGTTATATATATCTGCGGAAATATTCGTCTAAATATTGAGCTGTATTAAAATTCGGTCGAGATAACACACGGAAAAAATAGTTCGGTTGAATCTACCTGACAATGGACGAGCAAAAATGCGGCTGAACAAAACAAAATGTTTAGTTCTCATGAACCAAATTCGGTTCTTAAGACTAGAAATTTTGTTTCCTTCGACCAAAATACGTTTGGTTGTCAACTGTCAAATAGATTCAATCGTGTAAAGCAAAAGGTTTAATTCGATAATATGGATATACAAAAAAAATTTTTGACGTAACGAATGTGTTAACATATTCGTTTCGGAAAACGGAACATCCTCGTCTTTAAGTGAGAATCAGCTGAAGCGAGTGTGCTAAGCGGAGAAGTTATAATGAGCGAGTACGTTCGTAGTAAAATTTCCAGAAACAGCAAACACACTTTGCCGGTCTTCCGCCTGTGTGCTCCCCCGCAATCCGTCGGTTGAAGTCGATCGTAATCACGATGAGCTCTTGCATAATTTGCTTTTTGCCTATTATTAACGTAACAATAGAAAGCCCGTCGCCAAATTGTTTCTCGGCGTGTGAACGCCGTTTCAACGAACAATGTTCACCTCGCTCCGCCGCCGCCTCGTGACTTCCGTAAGAAGCAACGCTTAATACTCACGTGCGTGCGCGTAAATCGTGCCGTGAATTTTAAAATTGCGTCCACATGTATAATTTACGTATTGTTTATGCGTGATGTTTACACAGACTTCCTTCGTGTAAACTGTGTAAACTATTATAAATTACGTGAAGGAACGCGAGAAAAGAGTCACGACGTCGCGTGCCACTTCATCCTTAAACTTCGATCCGCACGTACCGCTCTCGTTCAGGCCGCGGTATAAATACGTACTTGAGCGATATGACGCGCGCCACGCGAATTGCGCACGGCGACGACGAGGCGCGATTAATATCGCGTATGCAGTCGCCAGTCGGCCGTTTACAGTCATCCACGTAGAGCAGAATCCGAGTTGCCGCCGATGTCACGGAACGTGGGTGTACAATTCCGCGATCACCGATGTTCGCCCTCAAGAACGGCGATTTCGCATCGAATTAATCGCGTTTTAGCAACCGTTACGGAGTCTCTCACGCTCTTATTAACCGTTATTATTAATAAAATATAGCATATTATCGATTGTTCTGTGATTTATCATTATTTAGAAACACTGTAAATATAGATTTATTCGCCAATTTTTTAGGAAAATGAGGGGAAGCTAAAAAGAATGTTTAAGACACTGTAAATCTCTTTCTTCTTTCACATCGCGCGAATATATATCTTTAGCGTTAATTTATTTGTTACATGGTGAAAAAGTTTGAATTTACCTGTCGAGATGAATAAACCAAACGTGTTTTAGTCAAGAAAAACGAAGATGAAGGAACAAGAACTGAATCTTATTTATCAGGACCAAAAATTTCGTTTCCTTCGACTGAAACGCGTTTGGTTTGTTCATTAAATATATAAGGGAAAAATTCCTTTTGTATTAAAAAGAAATACACTCACTTATAGACACGATATAACAAGAGAAAAAAATTATATTTTTGCGAGAAGATTAGTTTATTTCCAAGAACGCTCAGTCCCAATAACCTTCTCTTTGTTTGCGCTCGCTGATGTATATACAAGTTTTCTTACGGTAATCAGATAATCGTTCAAGGATGGCAAACTAGGTAACGACAATGCCACGTTACCTGACATAGCAGAGGATACGCGATTAGATAACGACGAAGAAATGTCTTGGTGATAGTTCATCGTCCGATTGTCGATCCCGCTTGTGTTTGATATACCACGCCATCCGGACTGGTCCGGCTGAAGTTTAGGATATCGGACGGTCGCCAAAACGATAAGAATCTGAAGAAATCGAGCTCGGAGAAACACGCGAGAAACATTTAACAGTAGTAACTCGTCTTATTTTAACGTGCAAGACGTCACGTACGATAGTTTTTTTTTTTTCAGTGAATCACGCAATTATATTAATATTAATTTTATTATTATTATATATTATTAATTATTTTATATTATATTTAGGGCCATAATTACACAGTGTATTTTCATTTCGGCTCCTGTCACGGTCGATTGTCGCAAAAACCAGAGTGAGCAGTAGATCGCAATTGCGACAACTCGAAGCGCTCCCAACTTATTGGAAAAAAATGTGTTCAAACTGTACTACAACTGACTATACTTTCATGAGACAGCTCTTTGATGAAGCCCCATCACTTCTCGCTGGACCTCACAGCGGAAGCTGTAAAAATTATCTCGCTGACCCGAATATCGCTTCAAATGCGCGCGTTACTATTGTACAATATATAATCTCTAATATACTATAATATACAATATAATCTTTTATTGTTTTTATCTACAGGGAAAAGGACCTTTTCTCCGCGTATTAACGGGGAAAAAAACGTAACGTAGATGTAAACCGAGTTTTACAGCCGAGTGTACGTGGCGTTTCCTCTCTTTTTTTTTTTTCAACTTCACTGTCGCTCCGCGTCCGTTCATCCGGTGCGTTCCTCCGGAATTGTCGGCGTATCGCGACTTCGCGCGATGTCACTCTTGCATCCTCTCTGTCGACGACGGCAATATACTCCTCGCATATCCTTTGTTACAGAGAGTGACGCGCGCTCGCGCGAGTTCGATGTATCGCGTTTTATCGCTCGAACGAACTCGCCCCATATCCTGTGAAACTCGTGCGACGCGCACAAGCACACTCCTACCAGCAGACGCGTCCCTGAACTTTTTCCTCTGTAAACTGAATTAATTCCCTCGCGGGTGGAAGCCGAAGGGTCGCTCCCTCCGTGTGTCCGGCTCGCACACTAACAGCAGGAGTTTTTCGGCCAGCCGGCTGATTTTTCACATGGAAAGCTGCTTTTACCAAAACTGATACACAGATCGAGTGAAATTGTTAAATTTGATCAGGGATCTCGGGCCGAATCGAGTCCTATTAGGCTTCGATTCGCAGGACTCTGACTGGATTTCCCTCTTGCGACATCGGGAAAGTCAACATTCGCGGGCCAACCGCGAACGGCAGCTCATAACAGTTACCGTAAAAGCACGCGCTTATGCAAAAAAGAGAAGGCAACGTTCGTACGAGCAGTGTCGCGCGCGTTATTTTGTGCTCGTCGTTCGCAAACCCGCCCGCTCGTTGCGTTACACTCGACTCGCACAATTAGAGGGGTTTCGCGCTCGCACGCATTCTCACGTATGTGTCACAGTCGGCACACTGTAGCATCAGAACCGATATATACCACTTTCGGGCTTTAAAACCGTGTTGATACATTGAAAAAAGAATTTGGTAGTAACTACTAAAATTTGGTGAATATTTGCCGAGAAAATACTGCAACCAAATAATTTAGTTTCATATATTAAATATAGAATATACGAAATTACAATACTGTATATACAATATATCGAGCTAAATCATTTGGTTGCATCAATCAAATGTTTGGTCGGCAAATATTCATGAAATTTGAGTACTTATTCGGTTACGTATATGCGTGCGTGCGTGGCCGTCTCTCATCTGGTTGCTGCTAACAATCGCGTTATGCACCCGCTCGTCTGTCTCACGAATGTAACCGTTACCGGTGATACGTGCACGGTTACGAGACAGCAGGAGCGAGAAAAAGAGAGTTAGAGTGCGCGTGCTATTTACTCGTCGCGACGATAATTACACCGAGATTTCCAACGCGTAGAAAACACGAGAGAACTGTCACGCACTACGTTCCCGACTGACAGCGTACGTCTTTCCGGGGGCGGCACACATTTTCCGCCCCGGAAAAATTCCCGCGAATTACAATTACGCCGACTTCGCCTGCTTTGAATTTCAAAAGACGGAAATGCGCGAAAGACAGTAGGGTGCATCGTTGAACTGCATTCGCAAATTCGGCGAACAGAAATTCCGTTTCCTTCGCATTTGCCTCGATCATTGTTCTTTCATCGTTGACTTTCCCCCGTGTAAATCATTGTCGCACAATGCACGATCGTTGCGTTCGCTAAATCATCATTACCAATATCGCAGTCTCGGTGTGAAACCACCGTGATATTTCGACGTTGGCGACTCGGGAGGATCGTCTTGTAGCTATCGATCTAATGTTACAGCACTTCCGGCGAATCGGCCGAGCCGTCCGCGGCTGGTAATGTGAATCATAAGCGCGAGTCACGTCATGACGAAAACGTCGAGTGTGTGCCACACGTGCGTAGTCTCTGATTCATGTATTTCATTCGATCGCAAGGCGCGCGTTTCCGGTCGTATCGTACGACGGCCCTCCTCGCCGTCGATCTGCTGAATTTCGGACTAAATGGATTAAATGGAAGCGTCGAATCGGCCCGAAACCGCTTGTCGATATTTCGAGCGCTGTCGGCGCGAACGTGACGTCGACTCGGCGCCGATAGAAACGTGTTCGGTGAAAAAAAAAAGGATAAAGGAGAGTAAAAGAATAAAATAATGAGATAGAACTGAAAACGAAATAAAAATATTGTGAGCACGCAAAAGTATTGCAAACAATAACGAGATGTTATTAAAACGATGAAATTGTATATAACAATGAAATAATATATTGTAAGTAATGATAAAAATAAAGATATTACAAACTCGCAAAAGCGTCGTGAACAATAGTGAAATATCTAATACTAGCAATAATAAAATAATGTTATAATCAATGAAAAAAAAAATGAAACGAAGAAAAATCGATATTGCGCAGAAACAAGTATGATGTGGACATCGGGAGGATCGCTATCGGATCGTCGCGATCGGCGGAACGTGCGAATCGATGAAGTTATCGCGTCGTATCATTACGGCAATTTCTCGCACCTTCGTTAAAGTATTACGCGTATTGTGTACAGGCAGTCGGGAAGAGCCGCCGTCGAAAGCCAGCCGATGAAATACATATCGCTCGTGCATATTTGCGCCGAGGCGAGATTCGCAACCGGACACCGTGTTATAAGCGACGGCGGCGGATGCTCGTGTTTGCAACGAACATGATTCACGACACGAAGTGCGAAGTTTAAAGTCGAGTGGATGCGGTAATGGATTTTCTTTGCATACGCACGATATTATTAGGCGTACAAATTAATTCGGTCCGTTTTTACAAAGTTTATTTACAGTCAAATACAAGTTTAACGTTTGTACTAATTTCCATTATTTTTTACGACTTCATCTATCGGGCACCTTTTAATCACCGTAGGACGGGGAAAAAAATTTAAATTTGAACCAGAGTTACGGGACATTAAATGAAAACCGGTAAAAAATCCTTGGGAAAACATTAGGATGACCAAATAGAATCTGTTTGTATCTCCCACTCAGAATCGCATGTTTAAAGCATTATACTTCTAATCAGAATCCATAATTACTTTGAGAAATTGAATTAGATCCTAATTAAACTCCAGGAAATTTTCTATGCCGGTAACAATAGAAGGCGCGTGCGTGTTTTCTTTTCCTTTTTTCCTCTTATACTTATGAACAATCTTCTCTCTCGTGCGCGAACAAGCAGGTACGCGAGAGATTAGTTCATGCATTTCGTCGCGGCCGGCCGGTAATTCGCGCCGATCAGGTAAATCGCGCGCCAAATAAATTGCGACATGCAATAACACGCCAGCGCGGCACATTTTACTTTCAGATCGGGGAAACGGGTCGAGCGTTGCTCCCCTTTCTAGGCGTGTGCGCGAATTTCGCGCGGTGAAACGTTCGTGAAAAACGCGGAGAACATCATAGCGATTACACGGACGCGCACCCGTCCAATATTGCGATGAGCGGACGATAGCGTGAGAGTTTTTGGTGGGTCCGAATTCGAAGCGATATCAATCAACCGGAATGGGATCCTTGGCCTGGTGGTTGGCCGCAGTCGCCGCTCTGTTGTCCTTGACTGCGACGACGGCAGCCCTCGAAGGACCGAATATATGTACCAGGAAGGAAACGTAAGTTTGTCCCGAGTTGCATCTCAAATTTTTTATTATTATTATTATATATTCTCATTATCCTATAAGCGCGTAATATTATTTAACACGTTCACGACGGGGTGCATCACCGGTGGGTCACGCTCGACTGTCCCATCTGGCGGCGTGCATCACCGGTGGGTCACACGATACTGAGCCATCGGGCGGCGTGCATCACCGGTGGGTCACGCTTGAACATTCGTTTAGACATCGCTCACCATCAAAAATATAGTTCGTTTAGTAACTGGAAAAAATTGCCGTATAGTTGAAAATTTAAATAATTGAAATTTGAATGGCGCCGCCAGATGAAGCGCAGCATGAATTCGAGCGCCGCCTCACAGCGAAAAACATGAAAATCGACCCCGGCGTGAACGTGTTAATATTATTGTAATATTATATATTTTTTTAATATTCAACTCTATGTGTGTGTGCATAATTGTAGTTTTTCTATTTCAAACGTATCACAATAGCAATAAAGTCGAAAAATTATAGTCGGAAGGATTATTTTTGGATCGTTAATAATTGGTAAACATCTTCTCAGGTACACGATAACGGTGAAAGTCACTAAGCAGGAGCCCTACACTGTGAGGGAATACACATGGTGCTTGAGTTTCCCGCCAAGATGCAGCAAATACAAAATTGTCTACAAAACGGAATACAAGACAGAGGTGAGTTATTTAGCTTGCGTCCTCGCAGATAATGTTTTTCGACATATTTGCTACCACTGTATATCTGAGTTCTGGCAAAATTTGTTTTCTCCGTGCTATCGCAGACCATCCTACATCTCCTTTATGTAACAGTGTAAAAAAACGAAGACTTGATTTATATGGACATAAAATGAAAAATTATCGCCGTCACACACACATGTATAATTTGTCTTTCATGAGAATCGGTGCGTCACACATGCGTATATGTGACGCGTGCTAGCGGACGTGTTAATTCACCAACAAGTGAGTCGAACGAGTCAGTCAGCCCAAGAAACACGATTTGACTTTTGAGTCAAATTATCAATTTTACAGCACTTGTGGTGAGAACGAATTATTTATCAATGAAATAATCGTTCTTGTAATCGTGTATAAACTTTCATTAACATCCTACATAGTGCACATAATATCACAGTAATATTACTGATATATTACACATTTTTGAAATATTACGGTAACATTGCCGCAATATGTCACATTCCAAATAGCCAAGACTTCAAATGACGTTTTAATTACTGATATTAGAGACGTTATTATTGAAAAAATTAACTCCTGAAATTCAAATAGAGGCATTGAAACGAAGTAATATAATACATATTTAAAATATTATTTAATAAAAAGTTTTCTAAATATTTTCAAACATACGAAATTGTAAAAGATTCAAATTGCGCCACTGAAGAAGAAGAAACGACACGTAGAGGCGAATCGACGGCATCTTTCATTCCGTTCTTCGTTTTCGCAGGAATTGACGAAGGAAAGGCCCGTGGAGGAATGTTGTAAGGGCTACACGAAGACGACGGACGGGGAACGTTGCATCCCTATCTGTTCCGAGGATTGCCGTCACGGCACCTGCGTGGCACCCGACGTCTGCAAGTGCGAGTCGGGATACGGCGGTCCGCTATGCGACTACCGTGAGTACGAGCTCTCCTTTTTATATTATCTGACCGTAACAGGAACGCGCGTTCCATTGGCGGCAATAAGTCTACGGTGACACGGGTATTGCCCACTTCACATGATATTCTTGGCATGTTATAAAAATATTCTTAGAATGTTAAAAAATAAAATAATAATATAGAAAATGTCTAAGAATATTATGCGCTTATAAGGGTACAAGATGATTCAATTTTACGTGCCTTTCTCCCTGGTGTGTGAACAGAGTGCTCGTTGGGAAAATGGGGCAGGCATTGCGAAATGAATTGCAACTGTCAGAACAATGCCACCTGCGATCCGTTCAGCGGCAAATGCATATGCACGCGCGGCTGGACAGGCGTACACTGCGATCAGAAGTGCAGCCCTAATCGCTACGGTCAGGACTGCGTGGAGGAGTGTCGTTGCAGGAACGGCGGTAGCTGCCATCACATCTCCGGCGAGTGTCACTGTGCCTCCGGCTATACCGGACCGCTGTGAGTTCTCCTTCACTTCTTTTCAGAGCGCTCGCAACATTTTAAATCTCGATCGAAAGGAAATTCATCAAGTTTTATTCATACATCCATGGTGATTAATCAACTTCGTAATTAACTTCTAATTTAATTAATTTCTAATCTCCGAAAGCGTGACAAGTAGTATTAGGTGTAAGAAAATTTAAATTTGAACCAGACTTACGAGACGTTAAATGTAAAGGCACCGAATTCATTTCTACACCTAATATTTCGCAAAAATTTTATACATGCGTTTTCTCGCTTCTGACGTCACGAAACACATATACTTTACTGTTCTTGAAAATTCTTCTTAATTATTCTTAACTCGGCTTCCGGGATTTCTGCGAAAGACACGGCGCCGAGCCGGAAGCTAAACCGCGCGAACCACATCGCGCGGAAGCCTCAAATACCAGCATCTTAATTACAAAGCACATTAACGATAAGAAATCTGATTAATTTTAATCATTGTTAACTAACTTCTTCTTGATCGATGCGGTGCGTGCAGATGCGACGATTTGTGTCCGCTGGGGAAGCACGGAGAGGAATGCAAGTCCGAGTGCCGTTGTCAGAACGGCGGTTCCTGCAGTCCCACGACCGGCGACTGCGACTGCACGCCCGGCTGGATGGTACGTGACATTTTGCCTTTTTTTTACCCGAACCACCAGACTGATCCATTCGCCGTGCCTGTTAATTCGACACGGTCTCATTCAGAATGAACCGTCGGAGCTGAAATGTGTCTGGAGACAGCTAATGTCGTTGCTATCGCAGCTAAATTTATTAGTTGTTTGTATTTAGACTAAAATCACACTCATATTCTCGACTAAAAATCTAGTGTTTTTGCTTTTAAACAGAAGCTGCGTTAAAGCTCGATTGAGACTGAACTGAAAGAGCAATCGACCGAGCAAAAATCTACTACGGAAATCTTTCTGTTCCCACAATCGAGTTATGAAATTGTTTCTTTCCGTGCAGGGTAAGGTCTGCGCGCATAGATGTCAGAGCGGTTTCTGGGGCAAGAATTGCTCCCGCAGCTGTGATTGCTACAATGAAGCCGGCTGCCATCACATCACGGGCGAGTGTCAGTGCAAGGCGGGCTTCTATGGTGATAAGGTAAATATCGACTCAATGGCGTGCTTTTTTTGCACTCATATTTTATCCGATATTTCGGTCCGGACGATTGGTATGTATGAATATCTAAAGAATTAATCTATCTTCCTCTTCCCCTCAACTCGCGGCAGTGCTTAAAGATCTGTTCGGAAGGAACGTTTGGACTGAACTGCTCCCAGAATTGCAGCTGTGACAATGGCGCCACATGTTCCCCTACAAATGGCACCTGCATCTGTGGTCCAGGCTGGGCGGGCGAGACGTGCAACAAACGCGCCTGTGAAGATGGTCTATACGGTCCTCAGTGCACGAAGGTAAGTCGTTCTTCTTGACAACTTTCGCGTTATCTCGATCGATTGGTCGGGCGCTAAGATGTGTGTTCGCACTCGATGTTCTTTCCGATACCTAGATAAAATGATCTAAATGTGAAATCATCTAAGGCAACAAGTATTGCTCGTAGGTGTGCCAATGTGAAGAGGAAAACACAGAGTTCTGTCATCCTTGGACCGGACAATGCTTCTGCAAGGTGGGCTGGGACGGCGAGAACTGCGGCAGGCCGTGCCCGCTCTACACGTTCGGCAAGAAGTGCCAGAATCGCTGCGACTGCAAGAATAACGCGCAGTGTTCGCCGGTGGACGGCTCTTGCATCTGTGCGGCAGGATATCGCGGCAAGGATTGCAGCGAGCTGTGCCCGAAGAACACCTTCGGCGAGGACTGCGCGCAAAGGTGCGCCTGCAAGAACGGCGCCAGTTGCTCGCCCGAAAACGGACGCTGCAACTGCACGGCTGGTATGTAAACAATAATTTTCTTACTCGTAGATTAGGGCTCTCAGGTGATTAACCCTTTGAGTCTCGGTACTTGACGTTGTGTAAATGAATTTTTAATTTCACGAAAAAAGCCAAGGCAGGAATTAATTTGTACGTCTAATAAGTTACGCATTACTTCTAATGCCGGTATGAGAACGAATCTTATAGATGAACGGTCAGCGATCGGAATATTTTAATGTTTAGATATACACACTATTATGTCGTATCTTTCAGATTACGCCGAGACTCAAACGATTAAAAATCATTCGCAATCATTTCGTGATAATTCATTAAAAGAGATAAGAGTTATATATGCGTTAGCAGCTTTAGGATTATGTCTCCTGAAATGGAAATATTATGCTGAAAATTTTACCGAAATTCTTTCTCAATTGACTCCATTTCGCTATTATTCCGCTAATCTACGCAATTTCCAGTTAAATTTAGTAAATTTTAATAGTATACTTTAACTTTTCTATTATTTTTAATAATACTCTAATAATACTTTTTTTCTAAAATATTTTAACTTACATTCGAATACTAGTATACCATGAATTTGATGGGCGGTGAGATGAAAGTCACTGAAAACTGCGTATACCAATGAAATAAGGAGCCAATTGAGAGGGTATTTCAGCAAAATTTCTCCATCAGAGTCCTCATTCAATTGTGAAAGAAATTCTGAAGTAGCTTGTCGTCTAACAATCACATTACACCTTCTAATTACGTCGCTTCTTTCAATCCATTTCCTCGATTAATTTGCATTTATACTGCATGCAATTGTGTGTAAACGATTAGTGGCTTGCTCAATGTTCCTCTCTCGACGTAATCTCTCAATTGTCTCATAGCTCGTTCGTAGAATTTCTGTAGCGATGATTTCGTTAGCAGACGTAACGAAATTCCTCTTTATCATTGCAATATAATCGCGATGCGTCTCTCGATGCTTGGTCTAATCTCGATCTCTGGTCTCTTCGAGATTAGAGAGAGAGAGAGAGAGAGAGAGAGAGAGAGAGAGAGAGAGAGAGAGAGAAAGAAAGAAAGAAAGAAAGAAAGAAAGAAAAAAGACCCGATATCGGTAAGTACGATAGATTATATGTATCTCTGATGACATTTTGCCAGGATGGGCTGGTGTGCTATGCGATCGTCCGTGCGACGACAAGTCCTACGGCAAGGACTGCAAGAACGAGTGCAAATGCTTTAACAATGCAGCCTGCAATCCGCAAAACGGTAAAGTAGTTTGAGCTGATGATTCTGTCTTCCGCGCCTTTTCGCGAGAAATTCATTATCGCGCGTCGAGTTTCCCTCGAGTGTTTGGATTGCGTTATATTTCAAAGAAGCTCTTACGATAAATTCTTTCGCCTTGGTTGGTACCTAATGAAATGGCCGTTTTGGAATTTAAACCTTTGATTTTTACTTGAAAAACTCAAAACTTGCTTCGTCAATCATCAAAACAGTCTCCGTCTATGCACTAATACCGTCTACTTCTGCCAACGTGATCAACAAGTGCGTCAATGCCGTTCTTAAAAAAAAAAATCTGAGGAACGAGAGTCGACGAATTCGCGGAATGCATCTTTTAATCGCGTCTTTCTTCCTATCTAACTACCTGCGCAGAACGCGTCGACGGTTGTCATAAAGCATCCACTTTTCATCGCACGTCACTGTTCTGTGCGATATTCCATCATCGTTCCGTCGGGAAAGCGAAGGAACGTAGATCTCCAAATGTCTCATCTTGTCCTTCTCTGTCGGTTCATGATGAACCCATTCGTCCAACTTGTTCACTTTTCCCAAGGCTCTTAAATGTCGGACGACAGCTGAACGATGGAAGTTGAGTCTTTCCAACTGTCGATTCCGTTTCAATCGTATCCTTCAAAACGGCGTCGTCAATGACGGAGGTCAAATTGTCGAAATTTGTGTCTTCAGACCGAAAGCAACGCCTCGTCGTCCTTTCACCGGCAGGACCTTCGCCGAAAGCAATATTAGTGTCAGTCTATATTAGATATTTGAACCTTAAGAAATTGACCAATCACAGTTAATTATTCTCTTCACATTCGACTGCTTCACGTATCGCTAATGACCGCGTTTGAATTCGTGAATGAAACGAATTTCCCATATTGACTTAAATACGAAAGTTTAAAACACGGCCATCTCATTCGCACCAACTCAACACTGTTATTCACCCTTCGCACCTGCACCGAGATAACACCACACGTTATCTTATCTATACACATACACACACACACACGTAGGCACGTGCACGTGTGCGGCTGGCTTCACCGGCACACTCTGCCAAGATCATTGCGAAAAGGGTTTCTTCGGGAACGGATGCAATCAGACCTGCGACTGCGCTGAGGAGAACACCGTGGATTGCGATCCAGCCACCGGACGCTGCAACTGCGAGCCGGAATGGCGAGGTTTGTCGAATTCGCTGTCGCACTTTCGATTTCGCCACGAAATTTTACCGTTTCATTATATTTTACAAAATCGAACGGTACATACCTCTTCATCGTTATCGAGAAGAATTTTCTTTCGGAGTGATCACGAGAGATGAGAGAAATTACTTTTCAAATAGAGTCGGATATTTTTACTCGTAATTGGGAAATACAGAAATATCAGATCGCCTTTGCTGCGTTATCCATTAATTTTGGCTGCGTTTTCTGTTAATTTGAGAAAAGCGATATTGTTTGAAATCGAACGGTAAATTGAATCGTGAGGAAGTCGCTTTAAGGAGCGGCGAACGAAGAATCTCGAGACGGGTTTTGCTTTGACGTGAAAACAGGAGTCCGATGCGAAACGAAATGTCCGGAGGGTCTTTACGGCAACGATTGCCATTCGCATTGCGACTGCATGAACAATAGCTCGTGCGACCCGACGACCGGCCGTTGCGTCTGCGCCAGGGGATGGGAAGGCAACGATTGCACGCGACCCTGCAAGGAAGGATGGTACGGCCTAGGATGCAAAGAGAAGTGCCCGGAGAAAATGAACAACGGTAAACTGACGTGTTATATTCGCTCGTAGGATCGAGGTAGTCGCGTTCCGTCCCGAGTTTATTGCCGTAACCCAATTAAGCCCCTTTTAAGCGCGTAATATTATTTAATATTAAATAGTATTCTTAGAATATTAGACGTAAAATTCATATAATATTCTATGAATATTACGCGTTTATAGGGAAGAGCCTTCAATTTTATCGTTTCTTCCTGCGTGTAATGATTATACTATCTTCTGTCGTACCTTAAGTGACCTACTTTAAACAATAATGATTGTGACAAATTGTTCAAATTTTCTTTTCTTCTGTACATTCAAAACTACAATATCTGTATGCTGGATAAGCACGTTAATAGAATCAGGTCGTATCAGAAAATTTGCTCGCAAACCGAGCAGTAAAAGTAAGTGTTTCAACGAAACAGGTTAATTTACGCTAAACTGCATGATTGTGTTTCGTAGATGATCGATAGTGATTTCACGTTTGATTGCATCGGATAAATGTAGACTTTGATGAACTTTTGCGTTGCCATTTTGACGATTAACGCTTTTAATTCGATCTTAATTTAATTAGTTGAATTTACTTGACCTGCCAATTAAATTAATTTGATTGAATTTACTTTGAATTGAAACTTTTAGATTATTGACTTTTCACGCTTTACGTTATGATTTCTTAATTCTCTACGAGGCATACGCTCGGACATACTTTGACCCGTAAGTTCCGTGGAGTTATCCTCTCAGACACATCGTCGCACGATGTACATAGGCGATTAACGCGCATACCGGAGACAAACTCATCGGATCGACATCTCTCGCTCATGGCAGTAACATCCGGCTGTAGATAACGCTTGGATGTGGGTTCTCTGTTACGCATTTCACGGTACAGCCGATGGGATTCACGCTAAAGAGAAACCTATCGACCGCAGTACTTGCGCTTTTATGTAAAACCTAACGTCGTGACGTCGTTATCAGCAACACCGTTTCTCCTCTTTCTTCGTCGACGATTGTTTTTCTATCATCGAGAAGAAATTAAGAAAGAGGAATGCGCCCCACCTCCACCGACTGTCGTTTTTTTCCCGCAGGCAACATGACCTGCGATCATGTCACCGGCGAATACGTGTGCCGACCGGGATATTTGGGTCTTACGTGCGAACATCCGTGTCCACCGACTCGCTACGGGCCCAGCTGCGCGAATCATTGTCATTGTAAAAACGGCGGCGAGTGTCATCATGTGACAGGTAAATCGAAGGCAACTCCTTGAAAATGCTACTTTTTAGTATGCTTTTTATATATAATTACAATTTATTATAAGTGTTACTCTCCAAATGTTACGCATCTTTGCTTAATAAAGATTACTATTCTCATCATCATTATCATCATCACTGTTATTATTGTTATTATGATTAATTATGAAATCGTCTAAAGCGAACACTGAATATAATATTGTTATAAAATGTTATTACATAATATAATAAAATAACATTAATATTAATATATGTGTATATCATTACTTTAATTGAAATTTTCATATATTTTCTGATCAGGTGTATGTCAATGTCGACCTGGCTGGCAAGGAGAATATTGCCAGATACCGTGTGCAGAAGGCACTTATGGAGTGAATTGCACGCAACACTGCAAATGTCAAAACGGTGGCAAGTGCAGGTCAAACGACGGATATTGTCGATGCGCGCCTGGATGGGCAGGAACCAGATGCACCGAAAGTAAGAAAAAGTCATTTCGTTCGATTTTATAGTACTTGCAATACCGAATGATACGATGATTTGTTTCCTGTCGGTTTTAGTTTGTCCCGAAGGATCCTACGGGGACCACTGTATGAAATCTTGCGAATGCAAGAATGACTTCTTCATGTGCCATCCAGCCGAGGGTTGCATGTGCAGACACGGATACACGGGTGCGTAAAATACATTTGCAAATAAAACAAACTATCAACAACAAATTTATATATATATATATGATTATTGTTTATTATATAAGAAAATATATTTTCTTATACAAAAGTACCTTTTTCATTATTTCACATAAAAATTTAACACGTTGACTGTCAACTACGAGATATCTCGTAGGTTGTTTACTTGCCCGGGACGCCAACTACGAGTTATCTCGTCGCTTCATTACTTGATTAAATCAAATTGGCTTCTTAGACCAGAATCGTGAAAAGTTCCGTGGCAGTCAACGTGTTAATCTATGATTAAAAAGTAATTATGAGAAACACTGACAAAATTGTTCGAAGTAACGTCTGCCTTCAACGCAAGAAGAACAGGTTTAAATAACACGATGCAATCGATAAACGATTTTCAGGCCCGAACTGCGACGAGCAGTTATTCTTCCGGAACGTTCAGGAGCAGGAAGAGGGTGGATACGGGCACATCGTGGCTGTGGTATTCGCGATGATTGTCGTGATCTGCATGGTGTTCGCCGGTTGGTTGTATCATCGTCGCAGAGTGTCCGACTTGAAAAATGAGATAGCTCAGGTGCAATACACAGCCGATCCGATACCACCGCCAGGTAAGCAGACGACGTGATATCAAAACTAACGACGAAACTTGATCTAAAATATCTCTATAAGCGTGTAATATTCCCAGAATATTATATGAATATTATTAATGTTAAATTAATATTCCTATAATATTCTAAGAATGTTATATAATATTTTATGTAATATTTTTTAATTTATAGAAATGTTCTATTGATGATATATATCCACTTCAAATAATATTCTTGGCATATATATATATATATATATATAT